GAAGTGGTTCGTTCTTTGCTCCAAGTTCTTAACTTTGTGCGGGGGGCAAGCTTTCCATGCGTCCCTTATACGTTTCGGATAGCTTTTCGCCTTCAGTATAACGGCTTTTAGGCCTCAACTGTCATCGTGCTTCCTTCTGACAATGAGCGAAGATTCTATCGCGGGTATCTACGACACCCTTAAACAATGTGCACTGATCTCCAAGAGTGCTGGAGGAATTGGTTTGAACGTCCACAATATTCGAGCTACTGGATCTCTGATAGCGGGAACAAACGGCACGTCGAACGGTTTAATCCCTATGCTCCGTGTGTACAACAACACTGCCCGTTACGTGGACCAAGCGGTAATGAGCGCCCGGGAGCGTTCGCCATTTACTTGGAACCATGGCATGCTGATGTTTTCGAGCAAGTTCTACTCCTAGTTTCTAATTAGGTATGCTGTGTGCGCTTAATGTTGATTCTTTCAAATTTGTTGCGCTGAAAAAGAACACTGGCCCCGTAGAGGAGCGTGCACGTGATTGGTTCTATGCTCCGTGGCTCTATCGCCTGGACTACACGAGTGCTGGGGAGAGGAGTTCGATGAACTTTACACGAAGTATGCGCGCGTTTGTTCTAGTTAAGCTTCCAATCCAAAAGTATATTATTTATAAACAGTCCGAAAATTTTCAGTGGTAAAGAATGATGGGGGTTAGGATCTTATAAAAGAGCGCAGAATGGTATTCAGCTAAGGTTGCGTTCGTACTTTGCGTCAGCGTAACCAGCGCAAGGCAGCGTTTCAAGCGTACGCCAGCACCAGCGACTAGGAAAATTAGGTATCGTTCTAGCGGTATGCCAGCGTACAGCAGCGTTTCGAGCGACGCTGACGCAGAGTGTGATTCAGCAAAATGCCCAAAGTGAACAGCGCTCAACCTTTCAACTAGCTCGGTATATAAGGTTAAAGTTTCTTCGAGTCTTAGAAGGAAGATCGCCACGAACCCACCAACAGCCTTTTTAGGTTCTACCCCGATCTCTCATTTCTATTATTCTCATTTGCTCACTAAGCCCGCAAATTGTGGGAGCACATCGTGTCCAGCCAGATCGAAACGAGAACTCCTTACATTCAATACATGGTGAATTACTTGTCTTTCAACAAGAAGGTGCTGTTCCGTTTCGCTCAGGTTGAAATTACAATTTAGGATGCTTGCAATCGGAAGAGCAACCAGCAGAACCTCGGCATTCTAATCTATGCACGGAGATTGTGGAGTACTCCAGTAAGGATGAAGTGGGTGTTACAGAGGTTATACATCTCTTTGGTTGTTTATTGATGGAATCTTTGTTAAGGTAGCCGTATGTAATCTTGGTTCGATTGCCCTTAACAGATTCGTCACAGAAGACAAGAAGTTTGACTTCAAGAAGCTTCATGAGGTTGGCTAAGGTGAGAGTTCGTATCCCTGTACACAATAAGATTTTACATGACCTTTTCTACAAAAATGGGTTAAGGTGCTAACCCGTAACTTGAACAAGATTATCGAAGTCAATTACTACCCCGTTGAAGAAGCACGACGTTCCAACTTCCGTCATCGGCCGATTGGACTTGGAGTACAGGTAGAGTCCACTCTCAGAAGTTTCTGAAAAGGGTACTATTTTTAGAACTCACCAGATCTGCAAGAGTGGGTTTTGCAGGGACTTGCTGACGCCTTCATGCTGATGCGCTATCCATTCACGTCGCCTGAGGCCTCGCGATTTGAACCGCAGGATCTTCGAGGTTATCTATTACGCTGCTTTTGAAGCTTCCTGTGAACTTGGCGAGAAATATGGTCAGTATGGTATTGTTAAGATTCTTGTATTTTTCTAGGGCTACGTCCCTGTATAACTGTCCTATATACACCTTATGAAACTTACCCAGGTTGCCTGGTATTTAAGGGAATTCTGCAGTTCGATAAGTGGAACGTTAAGCCTACGGACCAGTGTGACTGGGATACGCTTAGAGAAAAATCAAGAAGTGCGTTGTCACAGAATGAATGAGTCCAAAGAGTTTATGTGTTGCCGTTTTCAGATATGGTGTTCGCAACAGTTTGTTGATTGCTCCAATGCCAACTGCGTCCAATGTCAAGTTTGTATAAGGTTGGCGAATATTCTATAAAAAAGGCATCGGTATTGATCTTGGTCATTAACAGGAATCAGAAGAGCGCTCGATTCAAGAAAACGAGCGGAAGACTTCTGTAGACGACTTCGATGTTGATGTACTCGAAGCTGAGCGTGCGGAGCGTGAAGGGGAAACAGATATAGAATATGTTGGTTTGTCGTAGTTCGACGGAACATTAGAAGGCAGAGGCTTCATCTCATGCTTCGTAAATGTTGTTCTCTTTTTGTATAACACCCTTTTTTGTGCACTCGAAGGAGGGCGAGGAGGGGGGGGGCATCTTTTGCTAGTTCATGTTAGCTGACAGGTTTTGCTTTGGTCCGACTTGTGAACTCTTTTATCAGGCTTGTGAACTTTTTCAATGCTGCGGATTTGTTGAGCTTGTAACATGAGCCTGTCCAGAATTTGGTAGGATATTCGTTTTGGAAATTCTTCCAAAATCTCGATCATCATTAAATTAGCTAGAGTGTTTGGGTATTGAAAGCCTTCTCATTTTTAGATGAGCAAATTTGTTGTCATAACGTTTTGCATGTTGTATTTTATCATTACGCTTCTACATCTGCTTACCTGTTAATGCATGTTATCTGATAGGATCAATTGTAAGCGTCGCTAACTTTCTTTCACTTTCGAAAATATGTGTTCTCTTTTTAGATTTGGTTCGAATATGAATTATTTGTTTGTGTATAGTGTTATGGTTGCACTCAATAAACGGGTTTGTTCTATAAGGGTTTGCAGCAGGAGAATAGAAGTGGACAATAGTTCTGTCGAAGCGGTGGTCATAGATGATCACCGATGATCGGGAAATCGATTCAAAGCAGAGTAGAGAAATAACAGCAGGGGTGGCTATTCAGCAACTTTTTTCCTTCCTTTTTTTCACATTTATTTAGTGCAATGATTTGGTAGGCTCGGTAACAGCATAGAGTCAGTACGTACTGTTACCAAGCTTGTCGTGGAGTGCGTTCTAGGCATGTTTAGAGGAAAAATAACTATACGACTGTCTGACTTGGTTTAGGCCTCATTTAATATGAAGAAAACTTGTGTTTTGTGCTGTAAAATCGCCGATGGGACGACCATGAAGAGCATGTCCCCTGCGAAGAAAGTGAACCTTGTTATGGTGGGTTCCCTTTCTTTGCATGGGGTCGTGGAGGGGATGCACGTGGATGAAGTGGTTCATAACGTCAGCCAGAGTAACAAATTTCTCTCATGTGGTACAAGCAGTAAGTCCGCATCAAGTGCTCATGAGAATGTCACAGGAGCCATGCCTACATGAACAGGCCTCAGTTTCCTCTGTGCTGAAATGGCCGTCTGTGGAAGACGATTGTCCTACTACGAAGACCCTTCCGCAGGACGGCATATCGCGTATGTCACCACGGCAGACATAATGCCGCATCTCGTCGAGGCAATCAACGGATTGACTAGAGTAGGCTTTCGTATGGTTCGGGATCCGACATTGTGTAAAGAATTAATCGTTAAGAGTGATGTTGTCATCAAAGTAGGCGACATCATGTTGTTTGTAAATGGCGCCCTGAAGAGGTACCTTGGAAGCGACGCTGTGGCCCGAGCACCATGAGGAGGAGGTTTATGAACAACTTTCACTGAAATCCCTTTATACATCACGCTACATGCGGATATTTAGGAGAGGATGGAGGAGGCGGCTCGCGGAAGCTCCACGGAGGAACATGGAGCTGAGACCGGTGCTGAGGTGGAAGAGGAAGCTGAAGAGCTTGATGCCGCTGACGAAGCTCAGCAGCGCGATGATGAGGCATCTATTACATAGGCATATAAAATACGTGCAGTAGTTAGTCAAGTGAAGTACAGTGCCTACAATGTAGATGTTAATAGCAAACTGTAAGTAGTTTCAGGGTTCTGAGTACATTCCGAGCAGCAGTGACTCCGACTGTGGCTTTGGAGCTCGGTTGCTCAAAAAGACGAAGGAAGCAGATTTGGCGAGATATTATCTCGTGCAGGGCGCCTTGCTGCTAACTCTGTTTCGTTTCTGTCCCCAATGCGGGCACGGGTGGGCAGAACGCAACTGAGGGCAGTGGGCACTGCAGCTGTAGTTCGGTATGTATGTGACACGTGCTCCATTCGGCCCCCGACTGTGAAGAAATGGGCGAGTCAAGAGCGAGCCGTAGAACACCCCAGTGAGCGCAAGTATAAAGGGAACGTCATCGCAGCCGTATCCGCCATAACTACCGGCCTGCGATTCGTGGTTAAGTAGTAGATGTTGTTCGATGAACTAGAAAATATGAAGAGTATTGCGGAGTTTAGGAGCTGGAAAGGTGGGCTCAGCAGATGGGTCTGGCGATGTTTTCTCGAACATTCTTTTACGGAATATTTAAGTGCACAAAGCCAGCCATCGAGTCAGTGTACCGCGCTCACCAGGGGTTCGTGATCTGATATGGTGAAGGAGCTTATAAGGGTTAATGCAGAGGAGTTGTGCAGTCATTCTCTTCAAATACATGAACTTATTGAATACTGAGGGTGTCTTCATGGCTGCAGAAGGTGCTTAATGATAGCAGAGGATACTCGGCCATGATTGGCAAAGTGGTGGTATCTGATCTGCGCACCAGGCTCGTTCTCCATACAGGATTGCTGCATCGATCTGAGAGGCGACAAAGAGTATATCCTACTCTATATAATCCGCTAAGTATGTCTGTAAGTGTGTGTGTATCGTGGTTTGTGTGTGCGTCTGTCTGTGTGTCACGAACTTCATAGCGCCGGTCCCAGTAACAGTGAGACATTGATTTCAAGGAGTGATGTAGGCGTGTGACGGGAACACAACTGGTAGGTGACAGGAAGTGATATCAGCTGATAAGATACGATAAGAGCGTTAGAGGTCACCATATTCATAACGCGGGTGACGGATGTGATATCAGATAAGATCTGATAATGGGCATTAGAAGGGAAGGACTACCAAATTCACAGTGCGGCTCACAGGAACAGTGGGTCCTTGGATCCGAGAGGTGATATAGGGTGTGGGACGGGAACATCATTGGCGGGCGACAGAAAGTGATAACAGTTGATAAGATACGATAAGCAGCCTCGGAACGGAAGGGTCATCAAATTCGTAACGCAGGTTACAGCAACAGTGGGACCTCAGATACGTGAGTGATATAGGGTGTGGGACGGGAACATATTGGCGGGTGACAGAAAGTGATAACAGTTGATAAGATACGATAAGCGGCTTCGGAAGGGAAGGGTCATCAAATTCGTAACGCAGGTTACAGCAACAGTGGGACCTCGGATCCGAGAGGCGATACAGGGTGATATGATAGTGATACGGGACGGGAGTGTTATTGGCGGGTACGGAAGTGATAGGAGCTAAAAGTGACAAGGTAACATGGGAAAATCCGCTTCACCGCTCACAACAACAATGCGATCGATATGACTCAAGTATAACGATCTCAATGATTCCAACAGAACTCATTCCTCACTGCTTATTAGTAACGACATCATGTACGACCGCTAAGCTAGCTCTATTCCAAATGCATGGGGTTTGTTTACAGAGATGTTATGAACAGCATCAATTCACTTAATCACTCTTACCACAATTATCTTCCATCAACAACCTTAGTGAGGGCCATTTTCCACTGCTGATTGCGGGGAGTGCATTCCAAAGCAAGACGCTTCAAGCGACAGAATGCTGTTGTGTGTGGAGCGTGCGTCAAGGTGAGCGGGGCCAGCCTCAAAAATTCTTCAAGCGGTTCCAGAGCACTCCAGGCACTTCGGACCTCTATGTGATACGGCCCGGCTTTGCGGGGCGTGGCTCCATCGCGCCTACCTACATTCGTACGATCAAATGCTCGACTAATACCCGGCTTTTCTCTCATCTGTCCACTTGATCAACGCTCCTTACCACCACTCCATACACCGTAATAGTGTTGAAAGGAGCAGGTATGATGCTATTGGTCAAAGAATGTTGACCACCTGTTCGGGTAAAAGAAGAGCCTGATACTAGGCGGCTAATGAAATGTGTGGAAGAAGGTAAGCGCGGCGGAGCCGCGCAGTATCCTAGGAGGCGCGCCGGAGTCAGCCGGCGAAGCCGGCTGGTATCAACATACGCGGGAAACAGATAATTCAGAGAACGTCAGCACGCGTATGGAGATAGAAGGAATCGGGCGGCTACTGCGATGGATGAAGGAGAAAGGACTCCTAGTGTCTTCTCTCACGACCGACCGTAGCCGGGCACTGGGAGCCGCTCTGCTACATGGAGCCTGAGCTCGGTGCCATCCGCCATTACTACGACGGATGGCGTCTTGTGAAGTGGTTGGGCAACGAGCTCAGGAAGGTAATAGGTAGCCATCACGCGATGTGGGAACAACGATGACGTAGGTTGTTTTGCAGGCATCGAAGAAAGTGCGATGCGATAGGATTGCGGTTTGGGCGGAGAAGGTAAAATCGCACTTGTGGACAGCAATACAGCAAAGAGGAGGTGTTCAGGAGAAGAAGTTAGGGCCATGTTCAACACGTGCTCATGCATGTCTCTGGCCTGCATGAGTGGCCTGAGGTCTCCGATTCTCTCTACTAATTGCTATCACTTGATGACTGAGGAGCTTTCAGGACGAAGTGACAGGGCCGTATACCTCCTCTTCCAGGTCCACAACCCGGAGACATGAGTATGGATAGCGAGGCATATAGAAAGTTCCGCGAGGTTGTTCTTACTCAGTCTTTCCAAAGAGATTTGGTAAAGGTCAGTCTGTATGGAGGCACCTCCATATGCGAGACTAAGAATGCCTTGGATAGGATTTACTGCCGAAAGGAGATATTCTATCCAATCGAGACCTACCCCCTTTACACCATGATGGCCACAATGCACATCAATACATTGCGGTTAGCTGAGATGAGCGGGGAAAGGACGGTGGTGAGGACATGTAACATCCAGCGGAAGTACCTCAGGAGGAAATCGAAGCTGGTCGTTAAGTCCAAGCCGAAACATATTTGGAGAGACTTAGTATTGAGCGAGGTACTCAAGGAACG